AGACTACTATCAAATCCCAAAGGAGGTGCAGGGATACCCAATCTCTGTCTGTCTGTCTCATCTCTGTCCTGTCTGTCTGTTTGTATGTCTCACTATTTCTCTCTCTCCCTACCCTTCCCCATTGACGTCTTGCTAGTACCTCCTTTTGCTAAACCCAACAGCAATTCAGAGGACAAGGGGTTCCAAGTTACATGAATTAAGTGTGACTCTTTCAGAACACAGAACACAAAAAGAAGGAGAGGGGATAGAAATGCAAAACAACAGAAAGGAAAATGTAATGTTCCTAGCCATGTGTATACTCTTAAAATCAGATATTGTTTGTTTTATTTACTAACCTGACTGTGTTTTTGCAGAATTTGGGATTTGACATGTAGTGTCAGAAATATGGATTTTAGTTAGGACTGGAGGCAGCTGATACTAGCATGGAATAAATAAAACTACGTCTATTCATTTTCCGCAAATGACAAGGACTCACAGATCCTATATGGCTTGTGTTTATTCTTTAGCAAGGGTGGCTTATGCAAACATGGCCAACTACTTTGGAGGAGCTAAGAGGCTGAATTTTAAAAAAAAATCAGAATCTGGCTGTTAGCAGAACCAAACATTCCTTGTTGCAGTTGATAAGTAGGATTTAGCTATGGCGACAAAACTTACTTAAAATCATGAGGATTAATATAAACTGTGTCTTGTCTCATTTATTTCAGCAGTTAACTTGTAGCTTCTTTTGCTTCTTTGCTGAAATTATGATCGGATACGTCATATTAGAGGTCTGGAGATGCACTTCCTTAGGGTTAGGGTTAGATTTGGTCTGATTAAAAAGGATGCAAGAGAAAGGTGGGTTGGGTACTATAAAGTAGAATGGGAGAGGAAGGTTTCTGCCTAATTACATTTATACCTTCAGTAGATGAAGATGTTCTGAGAGTTTTACCTTTGATCTTTCTATATGAGAAAATTTTACATTTATTGTCTTGCTTTTGATATTTGTTGTAGCTCTCCACTTAGAAAACATACTAAAGCACATGTGCATGTTTAAGTTAAAAATGTTAAGTTAAATGGAACTGTCAGACATGATCTTGTGGTCTCAGTGTCCTTTTCTGGACAAGTACAGTTGAAGCTCAGGAGTATCCACTAGAGCCTGCTTAAATATTCTTATTTTTAAAAGCCAGGTCTCTTTGAAATATTGGTACTCTCAAATATGTCTTTTACTTTCTCCTTGTCATTCTCTCAGGTTCTTTCTCACTTCTGAGGACATTAGTCACTACACATTCACGTAACCAATCCTTTCTGGGTGTTCTCTTGCTGTCTCCATTCTAATGTGACCAAGGAAACTGATCAGGATGGTGTTGGATGAGGCACTGGATCTGCTTATGAGCTCCAAGTTCTAGACTCACATCCCACGCCTCTCAATCCTCATTTTGAGAAACTGTCTAGTTTCTTCTTTTCTTCTGCTTTTATCTTACCTTTTATTCTCTATTCTTCCCACCTCTATGAATTCATGGTAGATTCTGTACTGGACAGTTAGTGGTGCTGTTTTCATGTGTGTCTTCGTAGAGACCCCAGATCCAGTCACTTGACGCTTTGTTCTCCTGAACTTTTCTATAGGTCCTGACTTCTCTGAGACAATAAATTTATGCCTGAGGGCCTAGCCTTTCAGGTGGAGAGCTGCAGGGCATTTAAGGGATAAGGCAGAAAGAAAATACATTAGGTAATAATTCAAAAATATTCTCCTGTATCATTCTACTTTTTCTGTTGAGAAATTAAATGTCTTTGAAAGATGGATGCATTGACAAGTGACAAAATAAGTAGGAAGATAAAATGAGTTTTATATGAAAGTGGCTGCTCATTTATTACAAAATGAATCATCAGTTTGCTTAATATCTGCACATATTTTTCTTCAGTTTTTTCTTTCCTTACCACATCCCACTGGCAAACCTTTTCTTTTACCCTAATGGAAAAAATGTCATTGGAGATTGTTTTCCTATCATGGAGTAACCTCAGGGATATATAAAAGCCAAACTTTCTTGAAGTAAAAATGAAAAAGGAATTCTCTTAAGAGGCATTTTTCTCTTTTTATAAGCAATTCCTTTATTGAGTTAATTTTCAAAAACAGCTTTCTTGTTTGACTCAGTAAGTCTATCCCTTCCCTTTTTTCTAAATTAGATGTAATATATAATAATGTATAGGTCATATTTGTTTGCTGAAGCTATCCTGGTAAACTCTGTCTAGAAGGTTAGTGAAATAGCAGGCTGGGGACTGTCGCTGATGGAGGACAAGTCATCCGAGAGTGTAGTGATGGACCATAATTGCTGTGATGTCCGGCATTCCTCTTCATTTGTGCCATACACCCAGTCTAGTTTTATGAGTGTGGAAAAATACCATTAAGAGGTTTGTTTGTGGCAATTGCTTTGCAGACTGGTATTAGAGATCATTCTGATAAATGGATTAATAGTTGTAGGAACATAATTATAACCAATTATTTTGCCTTACCTTGCATTCAGAGGTCAGTGACTTTTTTGCTTAAAATAATTTATGATGACTATGCTCTATATTCTTTTTACCCTTAGATTCTTGGATGTTTTATGTGCTGCTATCTCTGCAAATGCTTGCCTATTTTGCTGTCTCTGTTAGACTTAGGGACTCATGTCTGACCCAGCTTTTTTTCTTTCAAATGCATAAAGATATTCTACTATCTCTGAACTTTGTAAAACATATTTAATACTTAATTCTATTCATTTTATTTCCAACCCAGGGTTTGAGAGTGAGTATAAAGTGGTGCAGAGTGATTTTATGTTCATTTTTTCAATTGCCCCATTGCTTTAGTGATTATCCTGCAAAGCTGTTAATCTTGACACCAAAGTAATAATAACTATACCAACCTTATTATACCTCTTTCTCTTATATCCATATCAGAAACTACACACTTTTTTGTTTGCTTCTCCTGAATTATTAGGACAGATTTGAAGAAATTCAAGAGAATATGTAAAGAAGAGTTTACATTAAAACTTTAAAATATAGTTTTTATTTTTTCTTAAGAATTTTTTTCCATTTGGAAATCAGGAGATCTGCTTTAGCTTGAAAAATTTTGAATTTAGTATTGTTATTAGTAACTCAACAGAAAAATGTATATAAGACATCAAATCTTTGTACGGAAAAAATAGTTATAAACTATTTCTTAATTTAATAAGCTAAGATATAAAGGTTTTATTTGAATAGTCAAATTTAAGAAAAAGTTTTATGTTAGGAATTTATATTAAAAATAGAAACATCTGGTATCTTTATTGAGTTTATATGTATTTCCTCAAAATGGTTAGCTCATTAGCAAGCCAGTCAACAGTGCTCTAACAATTTGTATTAAAGGAGGAAGGCAAGCAACTCTTTGACCTAATCCAAGAATGTTGTGACAGGAGGCAGTTTTTCAATTTTTCCATCTTGTTGGCCTAAATTCGCTGGCTGCAATCTTTATTTCACAGTATTCCTGATGCTGCTCATTTTTGTCATTCCCGAATTTGAACAGCCTGTATCATTAAAGGAACTACCTTTGTGACATGTAGAACTATTAAAAAGTTTATTTTAAGTACATCTAAGTTCTACTTTTAATGACTGCTTTGATTATAAGGCAAAGCAAGATTTTTATGTGTTAATTATATAATAGGTACTTTCATTCACTCTTAATTTATTCAGAAAAGGAAAGGATAAAATTTAAAAAACCAGCTTCAAATTCGGCTGTTTCTTTTTTGAGTAAGTTACACATATCTTTGTGTCTTTGGTCATCCGTAATGTTCATCTCAAGGAAATTTTGTGAAGGTCAGAAAATGTAAGTAAAATTGCTTGATCAGTTTAAAAGCCAGCTATTGATCCAGATGATTAAGATACACACACACACACACACACACACACACACACACACACACACAACACACACACATTCTTACTGTTATCTAAGACTGACTTTCCTAATGAATGCCTTATTATATCTTTTCTTAAAGAAGAATTGGATGTTGTCATGGCAACCATTCAATGGTACTTATTACAAGTCTCAATTTACTTTCAGGAAAACCTACTATTTTGTTTCTTGGAGCAGTAGATTGGAAGTCTGCAGTATTTGCTAAGGAGGTATGATAATACGAAATTGGATTTAAGAATGTTTTAAAAGAAGATCAAAATTGTTATATAAACATAAGCAATGTGAAGATAGCTAATACTCAAAAACGAAGATTGATAATAAATGACACAAATGAAACTGAAGAATAAGGGAAGTAACATAGATAAGTAAAAACAAGCAAACATTTAAATGAACATCAAAAAAGTTCTTGAAAGGCAGTGTACTCAACATTTATCTAATAATCTGATAAATTTGTTCCCTAAAATGGCATCTGTTAAATTTATAGTTTGTTTAAAACAAAAAATTTCCCTTTTAATCCACTGCATTTTGCTTCAATATTTGATGTCATGTTTAGACTTTAGCTGTACAGAATAATCTCTATAAAGCTTGATGATAACTAAAAAGCCTGATGATGTAATTTGCTTTGCCGGACAGATGCACTTAAGTTTTGGTTGTATATTCCAAACCATAAGATGTGTGTTCCTAGTTTATAGTTGAATTTTTCTGCATATTTATAGTTTGGTCATCAATCCTTAGCCATTGAGCTACCTTTGATCAACCATTTATTATAGTTTCCTTGCCTGTTTGTTTATATTCAAGTACAGCATTAGAAAGCATGCTTTGGGCTGAAAGTGGCAGATATCTTTTCTGTTCATAGTCTACTGGCAAAAATGAGTCATTGTGGCCAATTCAACATCCAAAGAAAACTAGAAAATACATTAACTCAGTTACCTGGTACCCAGAAAACAAATGAAACAGCTTTTGATAAAGTGCTAATCATGTGCCAAAATATTTATTAGACAGCATAGTTATTGGGGATCAAAATAGTGGATAAAATCTTTAGTAAATGTGGTACTTCGAACAATTTTTAGCATTACTGTTTTTCTTTACTTAACAGGCATGTGTTAAGTTCTGATTTCAGTGAAAACTAAGAATATCTTCTATATGAAGTTATCTAGAATTATAACAGATGTTTACCAACCAAAGGTATGAGTGACAGCCAATCTGGTATTAATGAATGTTTAGATGGGTTCCATGTTTCATACCATTTTTGCAATGCACATCCATATGAATATGTTTTTTAGCTCTTATATGAAATTTCTAAGATATTCTGCCAAGTATCTTTTAACAGTTTACTTCCCGTTAGCTGTTTATCATAATGTAGTTTTCTGTGTATACTTTGTATGTGAATTTTAATGGATGTATTTCTCCCTCATTTTCCCATTTTTATTGATTGGGGAGGATATTAATTGACTTTCTTATTACATTGTCTCCTGTGTACAAGTTCATATAGGTATTAAATTCAAGATGTGACCAACATTTTGTCATTAATTATTTAAGAAGCTCTTCAGTTGCAGTTCTTTCTTTGCCTCCCTGATGAAGAAAAACATTCATTAATTTTGCCTTTTACATTGGTAATTTGTGCTTTTTTTTTTTAACCAGGAGTCAAACTCAGGACCTCGTGCTTGCCAAGGCAGGCTCTGTGTTGCTGAGCTATAATATGCCTGGCCCTTAATGCAATTTGTTAAGCTAAGCACTAATTTGGTTTTAGGAATCTGCCAAGTCATTGGTTTTGGTCAGTATATTTGTTTTTGTTTCTTCTCAAAGTTATCATAAACTGCTAAACTTTAATCCGCTTGCAACATTCTATGACTATGATACTTAATTTACTATAATGGTAATCTGTATATGTACAATAGCTTTCTGATTTACGAAAGCAAAGATTTTTTTATAAGCAAAATTTTGGATTTTGCTTTAATTCTCTGATCTCTTTCTTCTCTCTCTCTCTCTCTCTCTCTCTCTCTCTGGTCCCTTTATCTCTCTCTCTATCCTTCTGTCTCACCATCTCTGTCTCTCTGATTTTTTTTCTCTGTATATGTGTGTTTTTTTTACTGTGGATTGAACTCAAGTCCTCATGTATGCTAGGCAAATATTCTCTGTTGAGGTATTATCACTGGGTTTTAAAAAGTCTTATTTTGAAACAAGATCTGGTTAAATTGTCCAGACTGGCCCCAAATTAGGATTCTCCAGCCTCAGCCTATTCAGTGTCTCGGATAACAATAATATACCATAATATATAATTTAGGTTAGCTTTTAAGTGAAATGTAGAAATAGGTTAGACAGCTTCATTCATAGGAGGTAGAATGTTGCATATAGAAAGTTTTTTCTGCTAAAACTATTTATTTTAAAACTATACTTATTTTCAACTGTTCCTTTCATGTGTTAACTGAAGTAAATATTTCCCACATCTTTATGATGAAAGAGTCTAACTTACAAAGTTGAAATAAAAATATGTAGCAGATAGTTTTATGACCTTTACTCAGATTCTTAAATAACAAACATTTCCTTTCTCCTCTTCCTCCTTTCTACAATGTTCTCTACTTTCTTTTCTTAGCTCCTTTTCTGAATGTGTTAACTGTGATGCAGGCAGCTGGAAATTTCAGTCTTAAGTACTTTAATCTGTATATGCATAAGAATGTGCTATATAGTCACAACACCAACTAAAACTGAATAAATTTAACATCATTGCAGTGATAACTCTTATGCAGTCCATATTCCAATGCCTTTCAATTAATTGTCCCCACATTATTATTATAATTATAATTATTATCATCATCATCATCATCATCATCATCATCATTTTGGTACCAGAAATTGAACTCAGGATCTTGCACTTGCCAGGCAGACACTTGTGCCACTGAGCTATATCCTTGGCCTAAATTATTTTTTGTAGATTTTTTGGCTTTAGTTTTTAGAGCGGTTTTGGTGTCATAGTAAAAGAAAGCTATAGAAACTTCCCACCTTTTCTGTATCCGTCCATAAGAACAGCCTGCCCCATTATCAGTACTCCTCACTCTAGTGTAGTAGTATATTTTTAGTAACTGATAAAACTAACGATATATTATAACCACATAATGTCTATATATTAAAGGTCATTTTTGGTGTTTTATTTTATTGGTTTGGACATATATACAGTGATATTTAACTATCATTATAGTGTCATATAGAGAATTTTCATTGCCCTATTAATTCTTTGTTGTCTACCTATTTATTTCTTCTCTGACCCTAATTCCTGAAAATCACTGATAGTATTACCGTCTTCACAATTCTGCCTTTTCTAGAATGTCCTATAGCTGAAATCATAAAGTATATTGTCTCTTCAATTGGTTTTTCCACTTAGTAATGTATATTTAAGTTTCTTCCCTATCGTTTCTTGGCTTTGTAACTATTTTTTATGGAGCTAAATAATATTCTATTGTCTGGATGTCATATAGCTTGTTATGTTTCCATTTACTACCGAAGAAAATCTTGGTTGTGTGTAATTTTAGCATATATGGCTGTAATTATTGTAAGCAACCATATCCATGATTTTCTCCAGACATGAGTTTCCAAATTTATTGAGTAAAAATCAAGGAGCATAGTTCCTATATTGTATAGTAACAATTAAGTTTATGAAACTACTGCTAAACTATCTTCCATGTGACTGTAACATTCTGCATTCCTACTGGCAGTGAGAGTTTCCAGTATTCCATATCCTTAGTTGCATTTGGTGTTGTCAGTGATCTAGATTTGGGTCATTTTGCTGGTGTGAAGTGGTATCTCATTTCGTTTAATTTTTTATGAAATATTATGTGGAGCACCTTTCATATGCCATCTGTGTATCTTCTGGTGAGACTTCTGTTAAGATCTTTGTCCTTTTTTTTAAATTAATTTTCTTGTTTCCTTACTATTGAATTTTTAAGATTCTTTATTTTGGGTGTTACAGGTTTATTTAAAATTCCTTTTTTGAGAAAACAACTAGACTAAAATAGACAGAGTTAGAGTAAAAACTTCTTTTATAGATTTATGTTTTGCAAGTTTGACCTGATAAACTGATAAGCATTGTACATAATTATAAAACAGGAATGAATATTTTAAAATGTAATTGCTATGAAGAAATGAATAAGATGAATCTCTAATTGAAAGCATAGCCACACTTACAGTGTTTAAAATATGGTTTAATGTAAGACCAAAACAAAACAAACCAGACAACAATAAGAAAAACTTCTCTAAAGTAAATTTTTTTTGCATTCTTTTGAAATTGGTTTGTAAATAGTGAAGGTCAAAGTGATAAGTAATTATATCACGTTAAAAATATTTAATCCTTAATATTCTAAACAAGATAAAAGAAAATTATAGTAAAAGATAAAATAGGTTTTGTAAAGTGTTTCTACTGAATATAAATTAGAAATACAGTGATTACTCTGTTGTCACACACAATTTATTCCACATTCATTTTTGAATGCTAAAAATTTGAGAATTGAACATATTTCTCTTATAAGAAATACTGAAAAATGAAGTAATTTGTTTTAAAGACCAAAGATTATAAATTCACTTTTCTAGGATTTTAATAAATTTTGCACTGATTTCTTTCTTTAACTCTATTTTTGTGTTTTTCACAGTTTTACTCTTCCCTTTACTGCTATTACTAACTTTCTTTAGAGCCATGGTTATGATATTTTATGCTACTTAAGCACAAAAAAGAAAAGAAAATAGCACAATGGTACATGTTTTAACACACTAACAGAAGTATTATATTTTCTTTGGGTTGAGAGCAGTGCTTAGACTAAAGCATCACTTTTTTGTGTCTATAGCAAGACACCACAAATAACACACAACCCAGACAAGTTTTTTTTTCAATTCTGATCTTCAGTTGACTATCAAACACAATTATAAACACCCAAAAATGTTTTTTAAACTTGTTCGAGTAGTGCAAAGTTCAAGCTTGGAGTTTTCTGACTACCAAGGTATCACTGAGTTTCTGATAGACTGAAATCATTATATATTTAATCTTTAAAATGATGAAACAAAACTGCAGTTAAGAAGAAACTATGGAAAGACTCAGCTAATGAGTTACATCAAATTAAAAAGCTTTCATACAGCAAAAGAATCAATTAGAAAAGTAAAGAGACAACCTACAGAATGGGGAAAAAATTTTTTTGTAAGCTATTCCTCAGACAAAAGACTAATGTACAAAGAAGAAGAATAATTAGACCACAAAAAATAAAAGTCCTTGTCAAGAAGTGCATTAGTGAAAGAACAGACATGTTACAGAGCAAGAAGTAAAAATGACCAACAAATATACGAAGAAATACTCAACATCTCTGGCCATTAGAGAAATGCAAATTAAAACATCACTATGATTCTGTCTTACTCAAAAAAGAATGGCAACCATCAAGAAATAAAAAATTAACAAATGCTACCAAGGCTCTGCTGAAAAATAAAGTCTCCTACATTGTTGGTGGGAATGTAAACTGGTACACTATGGTGAAGACCCCAAATTAGAAATTCTGTATGACCCCGCTAAATCCCTTCTAGATGTTTCCCCCAAAGAGCTCACAACATCACATGGCAGTGATACATATATACTAACATTTATTGCACAACAATTAACACTAGGGAAAAGCTCAAAACATCCAGTATACTCTTCAGCATACCTTTGATAAAAATTTGTGGAATCTGCATAGATTGTAAAATTACTGGCCTATAAGGTGGGACAAATTTTAGACATTTTGTAGATAAATACAGTGTTATATGAATTGAAATACACACATAAGCTTAAATACCATATAGTATTTTCATTTAAGGAAGGCAAAGTGCAAAGAGAATATTAAAGAATGGATAGAAGGAGACAAAGGAAGGGGTCCAAGAGACCAAGAGCAATTAATGAAGGTGAGTGGAACGGGAATAAGTAGAATAAGGATATGCCCTCTACAGTAGCCTAATAAACTCAATGAATGTATTCATTTTATGGTATAAACATGAGCTAAGATTAAAACTAACAAAAATAATAAAAATGCAGAAAGGGAAATTAGAGACAGAGGGAGGAAAGTGAAAGTGATTAAAAAAGAAACAAGTGTATTATGTGCATATATCCCAAGAAAATTGTCAATTGTATGTACTGCAAATATGTACTGATAAAAATTTGATAAAATTATAAAGGAAGA